CCTGACGCAAAAAGAGGAGTATTAAAAGTTTGACGTGTCTGTCTGTGTATCTGTCTGTCTGTCTGTGGCATCATAGCATGCGAACGGATGAAGCGATTTCAATTTTTTTTTGTATTAAAGTTGACTTATGTGCGAGTGTTCGTAGACATGTTTGATGAAAATCGGTTGAGCCGTTTAAAACTTGTGGGGGGTGAAAGTGGAGAAGAATGACCGAATGTCTGCAAATATACTCGAGTGGGGTTTCAAATGGAAGAGCACTGCAAGAGAATATTGATGACTTAATCGAGAGTGTTCTCAGCTTCGTTTGATGAGAAAATTGGTGATGCGAAAATTGGGACTTGGATATCCGATTGTCAAGTGAGAGTATCAATTACTACATCTCAGTCTTCGCAATTCTGCTAAAGATGATTTGTCATGTGGGTTATTAAATAGTTTTCTTTCGAGCTCACAAATTGCTACACTATCCAAGGTTTTTCGAACTAAATGTAGATTATAATAAGTATGTACATATAAAAAGTATAAAATAAAAAATTAAATTAAAAATTAAAAAAACCCGCGACACAAAAACCTAAGTTCCCTTTAAAAAGTAAAAAATAATAAAAAAACTCAATTTTAAAGTATCTAAGTATGTATTAATAATTCAAAAAAACATGTCGCGTTGCGGGACCGCTCCGGACCGAAAAAAATCGTAGATAATAAATAATAATTTGGCCGCCCGCGTTCAGATGATCAAAATCATCTGAACGCGGGCGGAGCCGCGGGCAATGCTATTATATTATAAAAATAAAAAACCCGACTGCATAAAAGTGAAAATAAGTTCACGGTGGAATATAGTATTATGCAGTCGGAGACACACGTTTCGTCCTTGCCGCGAGATGTACATACTCGTATGCATCTTTTTAGTTAGCTTTTATGCAGTCGACTTTTTTTTATTTTTATAAGATATTTATTTAGGTAATCAACAATAGTGTGAATTACATAAAAAAATAGAAAAGAGAAATTTCACAAATATCAGCAAACACAAAAAATTCAAAAAAAAAATGCTTCCATATTAATTTATATTTCAGGTGGAAGGAAATAAAGTAATTTACTTCACCGATGCATTTATATAATAATTTATTCAAGAAGAACTGGATAATTTAAAGTAGTTAAGCCTTTATATATAGAACTATAATGGTCTAAAGCCGTAATTTGGGCATTTTGCCTAGCTGCAGTGGTAGAGATGTGGCTTTTGATTTATTGTCAAATTTCTATTTAAACTATCTATTCTGTACATGTACGTGCTGTAGTAGCACAATTTTGTGCTATAATATAATCGTATTTTCATTGTAATAAAGAAACGTTGGTTTTTAACCCCCAACGCAAAAACAACGGGGTGTTATAAGTTTGACGTGTCTGTTTGTTGCATCGTAGCTCTCGAATGGATGAACCGATTTAATTTTTTTTTGTTTGAAAGGTGAATTAGTCGGGAGTATTCTTAGCTATGTTTGATGAAAATTGGTCCAAGATGACCGCCGCCACAAAATGGCGCAATACATATTTTCTCACAACTCCCTCAATATGGGTAACAAATAAAAGGGCTTGACTAGTAGACTACTATACACTATGATAAATTTCAAATCCGAGATGGTCGCCATCACAAAATGGCGAATTACATGTCGGGTGTTTTTTCAATTTAATTTAGATAAGGTTTTTAAAAATATGCCAAGATAGCAAAAAGATTTTTCATTTTGTAATATATGATATACTGTACACGGTTTTGAACCATGATTGTTGAAAATTATGTTTTATTTATAAACAATACATACAGGAGTTTTGACAAAATAGATCTATTATGAAATTTTGGACAACGCTTATGGTGAGTCCACATGATAAAGATTTTGTATGAACGAATATCTGTAAAAACTATAAATTAAGAGTTAAGTATTTAACGCAGTGTTGACCACAGAATACTTGTGCAGACTTCTAATTTAAAATTAAAATTTTTGATCAATTTCCTTTAGTCTCATATCGAATCTGAGTACGATCAGTCGTGAAAAAAAATGGAAATAATCAGCTCTAACAAATACGTGTAAAATACCGATGTATTTGACAAGCCGATATATTTTGCCTATACTTTAATTTTGTTGGATAAATCTAATCGTATCGAAGTTTTTGAAAGTCTATACCGTGTAGACCCACCATTATATGACACCAAGTTGACATTCTTTGCAAACGTTACTATAGGTAAGTTTTACAGTTTTAAAAGCATCTACTCAGTTTTAGAACATCCATTACAAAGACATGTTGACGAGCTTATTCAGATAAAAACTTGCTATTTTAGTCATATTGCTCTTACATTTTTATTTATTTATTTATTTTAACGACATATATTTATTTTAACGACAGTTTAGCAGAAAAATAGATAATTTTAGAAAACATAGCTAAATAGAAATAAATGTCGAACTAACTCACTAGCCTATCTCTACGAAACATGATTATTAAACAAAATTCAACTCAAATCATTAAAGTATTACATTTTTTTACTAAACATCATATAAGTATATGAATGTACCGCAAGTTCGAAAAGCAAAAACCTCAGTCCTGAGAACAACTGGCGAAAGAAAATTAGAAATGAATGTAACTCTGTTACATATTACCATCTGTACTATTTCTACAGAAGTCTGTTAACTATTAAAACTTTTAGTTCTACATTGTTAAAACTTTGGAAATATAGAGGAAATTGTATTTTTCGCAGCTTTCGTCTTAAGTGGAAAACTTGTTCGCATGAGATAAGTATATGAAAACCTATTTAAGAATATGCAAATGAAGCATTTTCGTATGATGTCGTATTAGACCTTGATCTCTCCATTTCAAAACAAAAATTATTCGAGTCAATTCCTTAGAAACTTATAATAATTATATACCTATACGTATAATAGTACAGTAGGTTACGGTTTTTATTAAGGTAATTTTTTTTAATTTCCAAATCACTTTTTTCTATCTAATCGAATATAACTTGAGACGATGAAGTAAGTTTGCCCGTGACCACGGCTGGTGCAACCCAGTCGAAACGTCGGGAATAAGGTATTTTGCCACTTACAAATGAACGCGTTTAAGTTCCGTAGCGTATTATTATCAATTGTGGAACGCAGAAATTTAAACGTTGCATTATTGATGTAAGTAGTAAATAATATAAGTTTTAACTATATATATAAGATAGCTACTTCGATGGGTTGGAATTTGCATGCGTGCCTTTATAAATAAATAATGAAAAGATTAAAAAAAAATTATTCCATTTAAATATTTTCTGTGCGTCAATTAATTTAAAAAACTCGATAAAAATAGTACTAAATAAGTGCTACATAGTGCAAAGCCAGGCAAAATTTACATTGATACTTTATATTTACGTACAAACAAATCTTCTGTCCAGTTATGTATAATACAAAATAGATAATATAGCACCGTCCTTTGTGCAGACTCTACTTTCCTCCGTGACCAGAATAGCTTACACCTTTTGAAACTTAATCGAGCTATGGCAAATTTTCGTAGGAAATTTATTTTCATTATGTCATATTATCTTCATATTTCATGTTTTTAAAAGCCAATGATAATACAAGTGAATTATATTTATATATTTGAAATACGAGTAACCTCGGGAACAGCACATCTATCCCTTCAGAAGACAGGAAGCAAGACTGTACAGTGTTACGTGGGCTATTTTATACGGAGGTCTGCCCGACGTGCAAAAACATATATTTAATACTAGTGCTCCACCCAAGGTCTACTAGTCTAGTCTACTATATTTCATTAAGTTTAAATTTTATTAACTTTTTTTGTAGAAAGTTAGATATAAGATAGCCTGTAACTTTTCTTAATATAAAACCGTAACCAGATCCGTAGTTCGAGAGATTTGCATGACAAACAAATTATACCAAAATTCGCATTCCTCCGTACGTACGTACAATATGCTTAAAAAGGGGTACAAAGTTTTCTCTTCACGTTTTAAATATATCTAAGAAATTATTATTTTCTCTTCACGTAATTAATATTTTAACAAATGTTCGCTCAGTGGTTTAATTTGACCATAATCATAATTTATAACTTGAGGAAAAATAAAAGAATTTAAATAACACTGAAGCTTATCAATAGCTAATAAACAAAAAAAGTCGTTTGACAAACAGAGACGAATAAGTATGGAGTATAGAGCTCGTAAGAAAAACTATCTCTGTGCATGAAAATGCATCCGTCAATAAGCGTCAAATTATGATGTAAATTCTAAAAATAGCGCCAAAAGTATTATTGAAAGTACGCAAAAAATAAATCACTCCCCACGTTTATATCACCACAGTTTTTTAGGTTATACTTACTAAATTATTTTGGACTACGTAAATAGTTTCAATAACTACTCAAATCACACGAAATATTAAATTTTTCAACTCATCGCACTTCACTCCGTTTACAACTGTCAATTCATATCAGTCCCTCTTGCTACGCTAGCTAGCCATTTTGATGGGTTTTTGAATTGTAATTTGCTGCTTAAAGCTGGGCACTTTTTCAACTTGCCCCCTATATAAGACGGTTCTCCTTTATATATAAGAATTCACTGATATACAAAAACTCTTACAATATTAACACCAGGTAAATTTCTAAGAAATTAATTAAAATTCTAAGAAATCTATTGTTAACTGACACTACGGCGGCGTGTCCGCAGTCGTGGAGGGATTAATATTAACTTGACTAGTTATTCTCATCGGCTAGCTGTCGATGTCAGGACAATTTGTCAAGAGTCTGAGTGCACTTGCATGTAGAACTGTTCTGATAATGACACGTAACATAGTGTTGTTATTCGTGATTGAAATGTAATGTCGTGCATATGGGAAGTAATAATATTCAAGAGTAGGTGGTAAAAAATACGTGACTCGAACTCGAACTTTGAACTGCTTTCCTTAATTTTTTAAATAGTATTCGATTTAAATGACTATTAGATTTTTTGATTAGTAACCTACATAATAATAATAATGTCCTCCCAACCGATTTCGGCCACGGTGGCCAATCTGCGCAGGAGATATAATTCACAAGTGTACGCGCAGATACAAGTGCACTTTCTATTCCTGTCACTTTCATACTCCGGTGGGACGACACGAGATACGACCGGTGAGAGTTCCGGATGTAGTAGACGCAGGAACGACGGCTTTACGTGCTCTCCGAGGCACGGGGGTGTAACACCACCAACTTCCCAACTCCGAGCTGTTACTGAGGCTTACTATGCAGAAAGACTCAATAACTAAACTTGGCCCGACCCGGAACTCCAACCCAGAACCTCCGGATGTGCAGTCGTATATTCTAACCACTGAAGCATGGATTAACCTATATATGTGTTATTCCGAGTCCTAGGCTGTCTACTAAATTACATCCAAGTCCCTTCAACTATTTCAGCGTGAAGAAATAACAAACAGACAAACATACAGACTTTCGCATTTTCATAGCAGTATGTATTAGAATTTAAACAAATTAAGAAGTTAATACTAGAAAACCATTACTTTGACTCTTTAGAATTCGAACAACTTGCGATTTCAAACTGATTTCTTACGAGTTCATCTAGTTAAAAGGAAATGAGAAAAATAAAATATACTTATCTATTCCAAGTACTAACATAGAAGTAGGACAATTATATAAGCTAGTGTTAATCCAGTGGTCGAAACTCAACTATAATCATTATTGAATTTGAGTAAAACATACATGAATAGAATTTACTTATCTATATAAAAAATACCTGTTTCTATTTTTTTTTACTGGTAACACTAAAGCTCGCCAATAGTTACTAAACAAAAAAAAATTAGTTAAAAACAGAGGAGGAAAAGTTTCTGAACTGTTTTGTCTTTACCTATTTATAGGTATATAGATTAAACTTATATTTTATTGAATTACTTAAAAAAGAGGGTGGGCCCGCAATGAATTCGGCTGAACATTTTTAGTGTATGTTTTGGCATAGTTTCTTGAAATATACTAATAAATATTACAATATTATTTTTTAGAAAAAATATGTCCTGCAACACTACACTACAACTACAAAAATAAATATTATACATATAATAAAACTGTAGAGGTCGATAATTTGTACGTAGAAAAAAATGCTAAAAACCGAGTCAGGGGGATGTAAGAAGGAAATAGAACAAATCCAGATTTCTTTCAATTTTTTTGTTTTTCTGTCTGTTTGTCTGTTTGTACGGGCTAATCTCCGAAACTATTGAACCGATATAAATTAAATTTGCATGGTGGTACCTTATATCCACGGTCAATATTTTAGACACTTTTTATCTCGGAAAATTAAAGAGTTTCCGTGGGATAGTTATTAAAATATAGTAACTTATAAAACTTAGTACACAACAACTTATGCACCTACTTTAGTAAAATTTGGCATGCTGATACCTTATATTGCCGGTCAAACAATAAGCTACTTTTTATCACGGAAAAATATACGGTTCCCGAGGGACAGATTTGTTTATGTTTTTCTAGAGGCGAACCAGTGCAAAGCGAGGGTGAGCCGCTAGTGTAAAATAACTATAATCTTTCGTTGGAACTCGTTTCCTACCTATATTTTGTTAACCTTTGAAAGTAGCTGACAAAAAAATTTTTACTCTATTTTTATGATAGTTAATCTAAATAAATTAATTTCCCAAACAGAGCCACAGTCAAAGCTTACAATAAGTAAAGTCTACAATAAGGTTCTTTAAAACATATTTCTAATATATTTTCTCTTCCTTCCCAAAAGGAAATGTAACGAAACTATAAATGGGTGATTTATGGACTATAACTTTAAAATAACTTCTTCATTTTTATCTAAGTGCTCTATATTCTAGGAAGATAAAACAATTTTCCGTATGAAAATTTTAATTTTTATTATATCAAACTGTGATTACTAATATTAATTTTCTATAGATAGAAAATTCTCGAAGGTGGGCCGCTAGTACATATAATAAAAAAACGTGTGTGCGTAGGTACTTATGTACGCACGTAAGAAGTTACTTCTTTGGCGTAACAAAAGAAAAATAGCTAAAGCTTTCATCCCGTATGTCACAACTCTCTGTTTGTAAAAAGAATGATAAATTAAAAATAAATATATTTTTTTATCTCCACTGATATAAAACACGTGTTATAGATTTATAAATATTTGAGAAACTTTTGAATATAGTGAGTTTTCACGGGAACCGGAGAGATAGTTATCAGCTAGCTTCATCATGTCGCTTGCAGCTAACCGTCAATATTTTAAGATATGAATATCTAATAGGTAAATATGTATTTTACGCATCAAAATATATTAGATTTCCTCTACGCTAGTCATTCAATATAGACTTTTTCTTTCTTTTCGCCTATAAAAAATGTTCATTTTAGTTAACATATAGTTTTCATTCCATACATTAATTTCTCAAATTAGAATAATACAATAAGAAAATGCTATGAAATATTTTCTTCTATTTATATCATCATCTTAATACATATTATGTTCTATAAATAATATTCAAACATATCCTCACAAAGTTTCTTGCCTCAGAAGCGTTCATTAAATAGAACAACCGATTTGTAAACTGCGACCATTAGTTCGTACACGGTATAATAGTGTTTTCGTGTTCAAAGCTCCCTTTTAAATTTAAACTTAATTATTTACTTTCTGGTTGTTTAATTTGGTAAAATACTAGAAATAATAGTTTTGCCGAGTCTCTTTCATCATATAAAATAATATATAGTATTCAGCCCTTTTTAAAGTCCCACTGCTAGGCACGGGCCTCCCTCCAATACGAGGGGGATCAGTCCATAGTCCACCACGCTGGCCAAGTATGGGTTGGCGGACTTCACATGTCTTTCGAAAACTTGCTAGGTTCTCTCAGACATGCAGGTTTCCTCGCGATGTTTTCCTTCACCGTAAGGCAAGTCGTAATCATGTTAGAAATGATTCGCACATGAAAACATCAGAGGTGCGAGACCCGGATTTGAACCCGCTTCACTCGGTTTCCTAAGTGAGCGCGTTACCACTGCGTGCAAAAAAACAATATATGATATATATTATTTTATTTAATAAAAAATAATTTCCTTCCGGTAAACAGATGGGTGAAGAATGACCTTATTTCGGAACTTCTACTGAAACTTCAAAATGAGGAGCTCTGGCTGTATATTCAGATTTGTCCCATAGATTGAAATAAAACTTTTTTTATGTTTTTAATGACATCTATTACTTGTACAATAAAGAAAGTCTAATTAAAATTTAAGTTATGCACGATTAAACTATATATCAGACAAACAATCAAAACTTAAAGAAAATACTTTACTTCATCCCAAACATTTATAAATTAATTATATAGAGTAATAAACATAAAAAAACTTAAAAAATAAATAGAAAACCGACTTCAAAAGTAAAAAATAACTGATTGGTAGTTTTCATTTACTATAGATAATAAATAAGAATCAGATATTTTCGAAGTCGGTGCCAGCTGATATGAATTCTAATAGGTAAATATGATAGAGTATGAACTTTAATTATTGTTTAAAATATTGGACATCAATTTATGATGTAAACTTTGTTGTATCGGTTAAATAAACGTTTTCTTTTTAAATAGAACTAACTATCTCTTCGTATTATTTCGCGGATTTATTTTGATTTTAGATTTTTGGTTCTCGACGTTATTTTTGTGTTGCTTAATATTTAAACTTTTTTTTTTAAATTACATATAAAACAATAATATTGCTTAGTAAATAATATTTCTTTTTGTGGTTATACATATTATAATAATAGCAACACTTAATCATTTTATTAATTAATTTTTAAGAATGTAATATTTATAATAATATCTAACAGTCAAAATTAAATAAATAATAGCTATTGCTATATTTAATTATAATACTTATTAAAATTTGAATATTTGTTTTTTTTTATTAGAATTAAAGTCATCAAATTTTGAAAGGTACTTTGGTACCATTTTTGAATTTTTAAAATCATTTTTGTAAAATTGTGGGTAGACAAGTAAAATAACAAGTAAAATTTGAGACGCTCTAAAACCTGACACCTGAAGAGTCCTAGAAGAGCTCACCCGTGACGCATCCATTTTAGTGGGCGGCAATAGACATCACGGCCAGCGAGCAATGCGCATTTCCCTTGAATGGAATTTGAAAAGATCCACGATGTTAAACCTTAGTCTTTCTTGTGACCATAATTTCTGCTAAGCATTCGCAACGTCAAGAAACAAAAATCTAAATAAATCCTCGAAATCCGAAAAGATAGTTTTATTTAAAATGTCCAATATTCGCGTAAACCTAGAAATTATTAAACGTTTTCTTCGCATATTCTATTAAAAATCCACGCTTAGATAAAGGATAAAATGATAAAATACAATTCAAATGCATTCACTAAAGCACAGAAACCCAACACGGGTGTATGCAGCTCATCTCAAGGCAGCGTCAATTTGGCGTTTTGCCAGCATCAGGTAATATACGACACCTATACTACTGTTCTCTACGCCTTTCATTTTATAGGGGATGTTGGTGTCCCAGAATTATAAAATCTATTATTGGCAAGAAAACCTATATTGAATACGTTAGTCTTAATAACATGTTTGTGACTTGTCTTTGCTATACTTATGGACTGAAACTCGTTTTCTTATAACATCTTGATCAATAAAACATAGAATTTTAATCTATACATACCTATAATAAAATTGTAACTAAGACGAATCTGTACATTAAATATTTTTTGGAAAATCTTATTGAAACAAACATTATTATCTATACAGAGGTCGAATCTATAGTTTTTAGAATTTTTGTCTGTCTGTCTGTTACCGCATCTCAGAAAAACTACTGAAGGGATTTTGATGAAATTTGGTGTAGTGATAGCTGGCTATCTGGGCCAACGTATAGGATACTTTTTACCTCGGGAAAATTTCTCATTTCTGTGAAAAAATACAAAAACTACATTGTAAGAGTATACTTATATGTAAAATCTAAGAAATTTGTTTTTGGTCATCTGAACGCGGGCGGAGCCGCGGGTAGTGCTAGTTTTATTATACGAGTATGTGTAGAATTTAGATCAAAAACTCAGCGTTCTATTTCAAAAATTATTATTAGTTAGACTTACCTTTCACATACTAGTAACTTCTCTTTTATGTCTATTAGAAACTAGAACTTTTGTACATAACTTGTTATGCTTAAGACTTTTAGAGTATTCATTTTAAAATTCTCACAGATGTTAAATTATTTTGAAAATATAGTTTTGATTTGTTTTTCAAACTCTCGATAT